CCCCCCCCCAGGGGGGGTCCCCCCCCCCCCAGCATGAAATGCTGCCTGTGGCAGGTGGTGACTGTCTGCTTTGTCTCCTTGTGGTTTTTTTTGGCAGAGAGGTAAAGGGCTTAAGGTCTGTGGGAGAGAAATGGGGAGAAGGGGTGGAACATTCATGACACCCTCACGCTCAGAGTGGTTAAACAGTGCTAACGGGGCAGTCTCATATGCTGGGCTCAGGAACAGCCTTGGAGCTGTGGGAGGCCACCCCATCAGCAGCCACAGCCTCCCTTCAACACGCAGTGTCCCCTGGCTGCGCTCCCAGCCAGCCCTGTCAGAAGGTGCAGGGGTGAAGGCCTGTGTGGCTTGGGTTGCCAGGGCACGGCCAGGCCTTCAGTCTGAGTCCGAGTCGGAATTCTCTTCTGCAAGGAAAGCAGAGAGGGTGTTTGGCAGCAGTTTCTGAGGCAGCAGAGCCAGGTTGTCAGCAGGAGTCCTGGGCCCAGGCCTCTCCCACAGACTCTACCGTTAGCCCAGCCAGGGGCCTCCACAGTAGCCACTTGCACCTCCAGGGGCAGATGGGGGTGCTTCCTCTGGGACCCCAGGCCCTCCCAAGTCTCTCCGGGCTGTTCTCACCTGGGATGTCAGAGTGCTATGTCTGCATCCCAACCCAACCCAACCCACCCCCTAGTTCAGCAGGATGAGGTGAGGACGGTTGTTTTCTTGTCCCCCAAATGAAAATGTACTGGAAAATCAACAAGCCTCTTTTTTAGCCATTTTATAGTTTCAACTCCTCTCCCTCAATCCTTGTTTTATATTGTGATCAGAAACACTTTTATAATGTTAAAGTCCTGTCTGTGAGGTGCAACTTGTGGGTTCCTGAAGTACCAATGCTGAAGACTACTCTGTACAGCCTTCTGGAAGCCCCCACCCCAGGAAAGAAAAGTACCCGGGTCCCTAATCCCCCTGCCCTGGCCCCAGTGCCAGTTGCTGTTTTTTGACGCTCAGCCCCTCCCTGGCCAGCACTCATCTCTTAGGACTCTAGTCAATCCCCACCTTGGGGCAGGGTTATTAGGGTAGCCAGGGTCCCCATGTGCTTGGAGACCACCCTAAACCCTGGCTCTTCTCACCTCCATGCCAGGGCTGCACTAGTAAGATATTGTGGATTTTCGTATATTCAATTCAAACATAAGCCAGGAACAATTTTATAGCTGAAAAATTTGTTATATATATGGAATTCTCCAAGTATCGAAATGAAGAAAATTCAAAACCCGAGTCTCTGCTGACATTTACGCCTTGTTCACAGGGTTGGTTGTTTGGGCGGGCAGGCAGCAGGCAGCAGTCCACAAAGGTCTGAGAAAAATGCCTAGAAGCATTTAACCTAATATTTGCCAGTGGGATGAGAAGCGCAGCATTCATTTTTAGCAGAGGGATGGTTTCCGGGGTTCACAGATCCCTGTGGCCCCAGCAGCGCAGCTGTTAGGAAACTGGCAGTTCCTGAATCTAACCGGCTGGCTCCCACCTGGAACAACAGGCGCTGACTGGGGAAGATCCCAACTCCACCGCGGGGCGCTGCTTGTTGACCTGCCCAGCCCTGGCACTGCTGGATGCTTGGGGGTACATCCACCTGTTCCAGAGATGCATCTCCCCTGCTGGAAGCACCTGCTCTTCACACGCTGTTGTCCTCCCTCCGCCTGCCCCATTTCTCCTGCCTGTGTTCTCCCATAGGTCCATCCAGACCCAGCTCCAGGGTCACCTCCATGAGCCCTGGCCTGGCCAGCACATCTCCCTCCCTCTCCCTCAGCTGCTTTATCCCTATTAGCTCCCCTTTTGCTGATAAATTGCTGGCCCAGCTGGAGGGCTTTCCTGACTTCTCCTCTGGCTCCTGTCCCCTGGTATGACATATTTCCTGCTGTGTCCATCCCCACGCTGTTCCTGGGTCTCCTATCTGGGCTGTGAGCTCCCCAGGGTGGGTCATCTGGCCCTGCCTATCTGCGCCAGCACGTGGTAGCCTCTGTAGGTGTTGACTTCAACAGATGCTACACGAGGGCCTGGGAGGGAGCAGGGGAGACCAGGTGACACAGCAGGGGAAGGTGAGAGTGATTGGCTGCCCTGGGCCCTCCTCCAGGAAGGAGCCCTGAAGGGCCAGAGGCTCCTGCCTGCCCAAAGCTTGCCCTTCCTGGAAAGGCTGAGGCCCAGGGGAGCCCGTGCTTCCCGAGGGCACTGGCTTCTCCATCAGTGTGTGAAGGTACATGAGAATGAGGCTGTGAGAATGCTTCCTGCCCATTGCAAGAGAGGAAATGCTCCTACCCTAGCCGCAAACTAGCCAGTGGCCCCAAGGGAGGGACAGCCCTGCAGCAATGCCTCCAGCGCTGATTGGCTGGAATCCCCAGGGAACCGCATGCAGGGCGGACACTCACCTTCTGCCCTGTGGGCTGTGGCCTCCTCTGTGGATTCCCCTTGTTTGAAGAATTTGGCCACGTCGTTAAAGATCAGGTAGAAGTCAATTGCAAACACAATGGTGGCAAAGAAGCCAAATACCTGTGGGACACAGTAGTTAGTAGGGTGGATGAGAGGCATCACCAGGAGCCATGCGCCCCCTGGGCCAGGAGGCTGGGTGGGGAAGGCGACACTGAGAAGCTGCCATCCCGGCCTCACGGCCTGTCTCTCATCTGCCTGGACAAACAGCCCAGCCTGGCAGGCACAGACCCCTGAGGTAATGGGAAATGGCAACGTGAGCTGGGAATATGGTTTGACAAACAGCCTTTCAAAACTCAGGGGAGCATAAATCTCTAATAAGAGGACTTTGGAATAGTTGAGACCCATATGACAGCGCAAGTGGCCTAAACAGGGAGAGGATGTGCTCCAGGTCCCACCCTCAATGGGTGTCCAGAGGGGCACCTGGAGCTTCAGGAGGGGTGGGGTGAACCCGAGGGGGACATTGATGGGCATCGCCTCCCAGGGGGAGGGTGGCTGCTCACCCCAGCTGCTTTGGATGCCCCATCTGAGTATTTGGCAACGGCTGTGATGGAGATGGTGAAGTAGATGATGGCCGCAGTAACACAGCGCAGGAAGTCCTGGGGAGAGAGAGGCATAGCCACCTGGTCACATGCCCGGTCCACAGGCCTAGCATCCCCGGGGTCCTACCCTGGCACTTCTTGTTGTCCTGTGGGCTGCCAGCAGTTGACACTGTCCTGTTCTGGTCCAGCTGGGCTGCTGTCCTGTGCCCCATGGCTTGGATTTCCCATTTGGCAGAAGGCAGAAGTTGGAAATCCTGTCAACTGCTCCACTGGCTCTGCAACGGGGAGACCTGGCCCTGGGCCTCACTTTGTCACACACTTGTGGCCAGGCCATTTATGGATCATGGTTTCTGCTGACCCCTCCCTAAAATGGGGACACAGAGGGTGCAGCCCTCCTTGGGCAGGTGGAGGGATGCTGGATGTGAAGTCAAGAGATCAGGGTGCCTTTTTTCTATGACATATTTCATTCAGCAAAGTCCACTGGTGGGGCTCTGGGCTCTCCCAGGTGATAAAACGAGGCCAGATGGCTAAGGTCTGGGTAGGCCCTGGAAGTCCTCAGTTAACCTGCCCTGCCCATGTGGAAATAGTGTGAATTCCTGAGGCTAAGGCTCATTCTGTGCAGGCACACTTGGGAGCACCAACGCCACCTGGTGTCCAGTGGCTGGGCTCTGGAGGCATCACACCTGCTCCAGGTCACGGGCTGCACAGTGTTGGGGCCTGGATTATCTGAAACCAGGTCTACCCGCCTGGCGCTAACCAACTGCAAACTGCCCTTCCAGCACACTGAAGAAAGGGTCAGTGCTGAAATGCAGGACCCTGGATTCCTCATCTGGCTGCATTGTGACGGGCAGCCAACCCCTTATTCCTGGGACCCCTGTCCTCACCATCATGGGCCAGCACAAGCCCTGCCACTTGTCGTTCAGCTGCATGGCATCAGCAAAGAGGAAGTAGAGGGCCAGCAGGAACTCCAGCAGAGGTGCCGTGAGGAAGTTAGATGCTGAGGATGCCACATAGCAGATAAAGGTGATGAACGAGAGCCCCTGTGGGGAAGGGAGATGGGGAGTAAGCCTTTGTATGCCCCTCGTCCAGTGCTCCTCAGAGCCGGCCCGGCAGTCAGGAATAGAGGAGGCTCCAGTAGCGGAAGTCACCTGCCCACAGTCCCCCAGCTGGGAAGTGGCAGATCCAGGATTAGAACCCTGTCATGTGGCCCAGGCTCACACCCGAGCTGCCCCCAGGCCTTCTGGGAATGGACCTCAGTGCCCCAAGCCAACTCCCTACCAGGACCCAGTCAGGAAGCCCCAGCCTCCCAAGTGTGTCCAGCCCTCCGGGAGGCCACCTCCTGGAGCTGCTCCCCCCACCGGCTCTATCGCAGAATCCACCCAACTTTGTGCCCAACATGGGCAAATTAAAACTAAACAATCAGTTTCAAATAATAACACCCAACACCAAAAATGTGCTTTACAGTGAATGTAAATTTTACCTTACAAACAGAAAACAAATCTTGAACTTTAGTTAATGATATGCATGCTGAAATGTTTATAGTTGAAATGTACTGACGTTTGCAACTTTGAGTGTGTCGAAAAAGAAAATGGAATGCTGGGGCCGCCCGGTGGCGCGGCGCTTGGGAGCGCGGCGGTGCTCCTGCCGAGGGTTCGGATCCCATATAGAGACCGGTCCGCTCACTGGCTGAGCGCGGTGCGGGCGCGACACCGAGGGTTGCGATCCCGTTGCCAGTCGCAGTACGAGCGCAACACCAAAGGTTGCGATCCCATTACCAGTCACGAAAAAAGACAGAAAGGAAAAAAAAAAAAAAAAAAAGAAAAGAAAATGGATTGATGGACAGATAGATGGATACACAGGTTTTGATAAAGCAAAGATAGTAAAGTGTTTACTGTACAATCTAGTGGTGGGTGCATGGGTGTTAATGGTATAAACCCTTCCGCTTTTCTATGTATTTGCAAATTTTCATAATAATGAGAAAAAAAATATCCTGGAGTGGGTTTGTTGGCACTGACAGCCTGGGCCCTGCTGCATCATTCACCTTTGTGAAAGGTGGGGCCAGCTGAACTTGAACCTCAAGAATCAAAATGTTCACTGCAGCCTCACCCACAACACTGCAGACGGAAACAGCTGATGCTGGAGGATGCCTAGGTGGCCAGCTAGTCCCGCAGACCGTGTGCGGAACAGGTGCAACTAGGGGATGGTGCTGACGGCCGGGTCAGTGGGTCCGCTGTGCCTGGTGCCCACCGAGGTTGTGGGTATCTCCTCTGATCTTCACAACCATCCATATGCCTGGTGCTGCTCACATTCCCACTTTACAGATGAGAGACTGTCACATGGCTAAGAGTGCCAGAATTTGAACCCAGAGCTGGCTGAACCCCAGTTAGAGTTCTTAAGCAACCCGGCCCTGTGGGTACTGGAGGAGGCCATCTGTCTTGGTTTCTGTCACTGTGGCTGGGTTTGAGCATGTCCATGGCTGAGTGGCTTGGAGTAGGGCCCAGGGGATGGGCATGGGGGCCACATGGGGGTACCCAGTTGCCCCACAGGAAGCACTGTGGTGCTTCAGACAAATGTGCTGCAGGGATCCCACGGAGTCCCCAGGGCAGCCTCCTCTGCCCTGAACACAGCCAAGGGGGTAGCTGAGCCCCCCTTGGACAGATAAAGAGAGGGGCTGTGAGGCTTCAGGGACTCCCAGGAAGGCAAGGCCACGGAGCCTGACCTGGCCCTGTCCCCAAGTCCATGTGTTTCTCTGTTGAGTTTCTTACTTCTCTGCCCAAGGTTGTTCTTGTGACACTCCCCTTCCTGTCTCCCTTGGCCCCCCCAGCCTGATTCTGGGGATCCCCTCTGGATTCCTGTTTTCTCATTCCCCGATTCCTGGTGGCCATTTCCTCCCCTTCCTGTCTGCGTCAGCCTCACCACTTGCTTGGGCCTGAGGGTGGGAGGGAAGTGGCCAGGAGAGGCAGGAGTGATGAGGAGTGGCCCCCTTGTACCCTGAGTGCCTCCCCCTGCCCCCCGCCCCTACTTCCTCCTGTTCCTAGATCTAGATTCCTCACACCCAGGCAGGCCAAGCGCCTCCTCTATGCTCTTGTTGTCCCCACCCCCCATGAGGTGGTCCTGGGTGGGGTAGGGTTGGGGCGCCCTCAGTGGACAGTGGATTCAAGGCTCCTCCCCCATAGTGGCTCCCGGTGGCCTCCAGGGTGGGGTGGGGTTGGGGTGACCAGCCAGGAGGCGCCTCCCTGGGAGTGTGGGCTCTGAGTCTGGCGCTGGTGCCTCACTTGGGAGCTGGGCTGGTGACCTGGGCTAACTGCAGAGGCAGAGGAGTTGTGCGACGCCTCCTGCCATCTGCACAATCCTGCTCCCCCGATCCCCCACTCCCCTCCTCGCTTTCACGTGGCCCCCCGGCGGCCTCTCAGCTTTCTCGTCTGAAAAGTGGGTACCGTCACCGTCAAGCTGCCGGAGATCTAAGCGACAAGTGGCGGCCCCTTGTCCCGCCTCCCTTCTGCCCAGCCTCTTCCTCCCCATCGCCGATGGCTCCCGCCAGCCCCCGCCCCACACGCAGCCAGTGCGGACCACAGTGCGGGAGACCGGGGAGCGTCGGGAAGATAAAGGCCAGGCCAGCCGGGTGCGGGCGAGCGGGAGCAGGAAGGAGCCACTGGGGGCGGGGCTGCTGGGTCCCAGCGCGGCAGGAGGGGCTGAGGTCACCCCGCCGGGCTCCCGCCCGCGCCCCCCACTGTGCGGCCCGGGCCTCACCCCATCCCGGGGGGCTCCTTTCAGCTCAAC